GGAGACCTCCAGGCCATCACCCCTGGGAAGCTACTCCCCAGTCCGGAGTGCAGGCCCCTTTGGGCCTAGCACTGACTCATCTGCCTCTACCTCCTGCTCCCCCGCTCCTGAGCAGGCCACAGCAGCAGAAAGTCTGCCCCCATGGGGCTACACCTGCCCCACTGTTCGGCCTGCCATCTCCCAGCAGCCACAGAAGGAGGACCAGAAGGTTCCGACCTTGGCTGAGTACCGACTTCATGGCACAGGAAGCTTGCCACCTCTGGGCTCCTGGAGGTCTGGCTTTACCCGGGCAGAGAGTCTGGCTCGAGGAGGTGGTGAGGGCAGCATGGCCTCCAGGTCCAGCAATGGTATGCATCCGCAGCCCAAGCAATCCCCCCTCTCCTTTGAATGGTCTCGTATGCTTTCTGCAGGGGCCACATCCACAGTGTCTACAGATGTCTGACACATCCCCCTAGCCCTAGCATTCATTCTATGCGGGCCGCCGTGGGGACATGAAAGGCTATCTCCTTTTAACTCTCCCTCTCATCTGTTCTGCTTCCAGCCAACCACCTCTCCCCTCAAGCCCTCAAGTGGCGGGAATACAGAAGGAAGAACCCATTAGGGCCACCTGGTTTGTCAGGAAGTCTAGATCGAAGGCCACAGGAAGCTCTGCTGGCCCGCAGAAACCCCATCTCTGAGTTCCCCGGTTCTTTCGGCACTGCCAGCCATCTGAATTGCCGGCTGAATGGTGCGTGGCCAAGACCCCTGGTATACCCAGGGCTAGCTGGGAAGGGCGGGGGAAGGGACCAGTTAGCCTTAGAGGGTGTGAGGCACTCAGCTGAGCCAAGAACACTTGGGAAGAGCCTCTCGGGATATTGTTTTTCTCTTCTTTCCAGGTCAGGTTGCAAAGCCATTATCATTGACCTGCCCTGACCTCCAGGACCCCTTTTCCTTAACTGAGAAGCCTCCAGCTGAGTTTTGTCTGTCTCCAGATGGCAACTCAGAAGCCATTTCCATTGATATACTTCAGAAAAAAGGTGCCTGTCGACACCCAGCCTGATCCAGGCATTGGTGTCATTACCTGCTGTCCCTGGTGCCCTGCTAGCTGACCCTCCAGAACACCTCTGTCTAAAGCCCAGATACCAACACAGGGGGCTGTGAGCGTTAGGGGAGAGCTGTGGTGTCGTGTTTGTATAGTGTGTGAGTGAGCGAAGGTCGTGTGCCAGGAACCTAGGAATCAGTCTCCGGCCCTCTCCTCAGCAGATCCAGCACACTGAAAGAGACTGACACAGGATTTTAGGTTTTGCTGGAGCCTGGCATGGTGGTGTGTGCCTTTTAGTCCTGGCACTTGGGAGGCAGAGCCGGTGGGTCTCAGTTCCGGCCAGGCTGGTCAGCTCTAGGACAGCCAGGGGTACATAGTGAGTCCCTGTCTTAAAACACTTGACTGGGCATGGTGGCAAACAACTTTAATCCCAGCACTTGTAAAATAAACAAGCTAAGTGTGGGCCAAGGGGCGGGAGCTTGACAGGGGACAAGGGAGAGTTGCTTGTAGAGCTAAGTGAGACACAAAGGTCAGCGAGGGGAGAGCCCTCCGTGAAGAGAAGAGCCAGCTACTGAGATGACAGGGCAGTGAGATGCTGGGTGGGTGGGACAGCTTCTTCCCACCAAGGGCTCAGCCTCCACTGGGTGAGTCTCATCAGTCTTCCTCACAGGGCTGGTAAAAGCTGTCAACACGGCTGTGGACCTTATCGTGGCCCATTTTGGCACAAGCCGGGACCCTGGCGTCAAGGTAGGGTGACTCGGCCTGTGTGCTGTCACTCCCCCTTGCTCTCTTGAATCCAGAGCCTGGAATTGGATCCCAGGGATGGAAATGGTCGGGGGGTGGGGGCAGGAGGGCTTAGCACTCGAGAACAGGTCAGGCTGCTCATTGCTGCCCTCTGTGTCTGCAGGCGAAGCTGGGGAACAGCTCTGTGAGCCCCAACGTCGGCCACCTGGTCCTCAAGTACTTGTGTCCTGCCGTCCAAGCTGTGCTGGAGGACGGGCTCAAGGCCTTCGTACTAGATGTGATCATTGGCCAGCGTAAAAACACGCCTTGGAGTGTGGTGGAGGCGTCCACGCAGCTAGGTAAACACTAGACCACAACGCTGGACTGCAGACTGAATTTAGGGCTCTGGAAGCTACAAGTGTGACCCTGAACCCTGTCTTCTCCCCAGGCCCGTCCACCAAGGTCTTGCATGGCCTTTCCAACAAAGTCAGCCAGTTCCCGGAGCTCACCAGCCACACCATGCGCTTCAACGCCTTCGTCCTCGGCCTGCTCAAGTGAGTGTGCGCAGTGGCTCGGCCGCCGCCCGCCGCCGCCGCCTCTGAGGGGCCGGCTGCCTGGCACCAGACAGGCGTGCTGCGGCGTCCGGACAGGCGCTGCACCACCGCCCTCGGTGCTCTTGCACGTTCACGAGCCCCTGTTCCGGGTCTGCAAACTGGGCCCCTCTCAGCCCCAGCTCTGCTTCCAGCTCCAGCCGCTCACTCCCCTTCCCCACAGCCTTTCCTCTCAGTGGTCACCCTCACCTATGCAGAGCACCTCCACCCGGAGGGGAGATCACTGACTTGTGAGCCTCGCTCGCCCCATTGACTTTCCAGAGTTGCAGTACAGGGTGACCCAGTACTGGGTGCAGCGCCCACCCGCATGCCCCTCTGTGCTCCTCCCTGTGTCTGCCCCTGAGCGCCCTGCTGGGGCCCCACTGTCTGCCCATACCCACCAGACTCACCCTTTGACCCGTCTTTCTGCAGCCTCCGGTCCCTGGAGTTCTGGTTTAATCACCTGTATAACCATGAAGGTAAGGCCCACACCTGCTCTGCCTTACCAGCTCGCTTCAGGAGGTTGGGGACCACGTGGCCTTTCCTTCTCAGTGTGGGGCCTCCGCTGGAGACCTTCCCCGGCTTCCACTTGACTTAGAGCTGCCGCCACGGCGGCAGACCGAGGCAGCCTAGCAGTTAGGGTGGCCATGAACCCTGGCACTTCTCTCTAAGCTCAGAGCTGCCATCTCAGGTGGTGGCTGTCTGCGCTGCGTCCTGTGCAACAGGCTTTGTGCAGACTGAGCAGCCTGCAGACGCGCGCGGTGGCTAGCACAGGTGCTTCTCCGTGCCCTCAGGCCGGGCGGACTTCTGTGTGTGACCTGGCCCTCTCTCTCCCTAGACGTCATCCAGACCCACTACCAGCCCTGGGGCTTCCTGCGTGCGGCTCACACGGTTTGCCCTGGCCTCTTTGAGGAGCTGCTGCTGCTGCTCCAGCCCTTGGCCCTGCTGCCCTTCAGCCTCGACCTGCTGTTCCAGCACCGGCTGCTGCAGAGCGGGCGGCGGCAGCGGCAGCACAAGGAACTGCTGCGCGTGTCCCAGGACCTGCTGCTGTCTGCACACTCAACCTTGCAGCTGGCCAGGGCCCGAGGCCGCGACGGCCCTGGAGACGTGGACAGGGCGGCCCCGGGGGAGCGGGTCAAGGGTGTGGGGGCCTCCGAGGGTGGAGAAGAGGACGAGGAAGACGCAGAAGAGGCGGCTGTGGTGGGGGGAGGCACGGAGCACGGCCGGTGGGCCCGAGGCCGTCAGGCCGGCTGGTGGTACCAGCTCATGCAGACCTCCCAGGTCTACGTCGAGGGCGCCGCCGAGGCCTCCAGATTCCCTCGCAGCAGCAGCAGTGGCAGTGAGAGAAAGAAAGGAGTAGGCAGTGGGGGGCCTTCCCAGGCCCCGCCGCCTCGGGAGGGGGTAGTGGAAGGGGCTGAGGCCTGCCCCGCCCCCGAGGAGGCCCTGGGCCAAGAAAGGGGCTGGCCTTTCTGGATGGGGAGCCCCCCTGACTCTGTGCTAGCGGAGCTGAGGCGCAGTCGGGAGAGGGAAGGGCCTGTTGCCCCACCAACGGAAAATGAGGAAGGGACCGCAGAGCCTCCCCCCGGGGGCATCAAGTGGGGGCACCTCTTTGGTTCTCGGAAAACTCCGCGGGAAGCCCGGCCTACAAACAGGTGAGAGCCGCTACTGGCTTAGGCAGTGGTGAGGCCCGCCCGGTGTGAACGGGGACACGGGCTGAATGGTCTGTTTTCTCCCCTAGGCTACCCTCGGACTGGCTGAGCCTAGACAAGTCTGTATTCCAGCTAGTGGCCCAGACGATGGGGGCCAGAAGGGAGCCGGAGCCCAGGGAGAACCCGCCGGAGCCCCGCTCTCCAGCCCCGCCCTCCAAACCTCCGTGGTACGGCCAGGGAGGTGGAGTACTGGGGAGCCAGCCTGGCTTTTTATAGGGCTTCTCTGACCACCGCTTGTTTCTCCAGCGAGGTGCAGGCACTGTGCCACCATCTGGCGACAGGCCCTGGACAACTGAGCTTCCACAAAGGAGATGTCCTCCAGGTGCTGGGCCCAGCCGGAGGAGACTGGCTGCGCTGCAGCCGCGGCACTGACACTGGCTTGGTACCGCTGGCCTATGTGACATTGACCCCAACTCCGAGTTCACCTCCTGGAAGCAGCCAACACTGAGGCCTTGTGCATGCTGGTGGCCTCAAGGACCCTCATTTCCCCCGAGACTCAGAGCCTGAGAGCCCTGCCCAAGCCCTCAGGCTTGGCTACAAAAGTAGACTGAGAGCTGGGGCCACGCACCCCCGTGCTGGCACCTGCTCCTCTGCGCAGTATTAATTACTCCTCAACTGTCCCAGCGACTTTGTCCGAACCTCCACCCAGGAAGCGAGGGGAGGGAGGGACACGGTGCCAGGCTGCAAAGATTTTTCCTGGCCCATTTGGGCCAACACTTCCATGGGTGTAGACAAGTCTGGAGGGAGGGGCCCAGAGGTCATTTGTAGGTTCACTAGGCTGAGGGATAGTGAGGGTGGTTAACAGTGTTGGGGCAGCCCCAAGCCTGCCGTGCTGTAAATAGGCAGTGGCCAGTGCCTGGTCGCCAGACAGGGAGGAACCAGGCTTCTGTTTGTGTATTTATTTATTTATTTATTTATTACACCTATTAATAAAAGGTGCTCAGCCTCCAAACCATTTTCTTTGTGCCCCTCCCCCACCTGCCTGTCAGCCTTCCAAAAGGGCCGCTGCGATCGGATGAAAGGGGAGAGCTTGAAATCCAGGTACTTAAGCCAATGGCTGTTTCTGAGTGGTGCTGAGGCCCAGAGCATCATGGGTGAGACGCCCAAATGTACCACTAAACTGGAATTTATATCCTGTGTGGCCAAGAGAGTCTGTCACGTGTAGCCAAAGGCATGAGAAGTCCGCGTCCTTCTCAGCCAGTTGGATAGTCTCCAAACTGTGAGCTGCCCAGGCGTCCTCTCGAAAGGAACATCTCTCCATGCCTATTCCCCAGACCACCCCACCTGCACACACATCGCTGTTCCCAAAGCCTCTCACAGGCGCTTCTCACCTGGTATGTAGCCTCCATAGTGAGGCAGAAGACCCAGGCTCTGAAAGCTGGGCCTGGGAAGTGGGGAGAGAGGTTTGGGATCCTTCCGCGCCCTGCCCCGTGAGCATGTCTGCCCAAATTCCTGCAGGGCCTGGTTGGTGAGCACAGGGAAGCCGGAGCCAAAGAGGAAGCGGGCACGGGGCACATAGCCAGTGAAGCCTGCGGGGGCGGAGGGGGTGGCGCTGAGTCACGACATTGGGGGATCTCACCAGGCCTTTGCTCCCCCTCCCCCTCACCTGACATGAAGAACTTCTGGGGGTCTGTATCATCCATGGAGTACGGGGAAGCCTTGTGAGAGAAGGAGACAGCTGGCAGCCAGGCCCATGGCCGGTATGCTCGGCGCCCCCAGGCCTGCGCACAAACGCCCACCCCCTACTGGCCTTCCCGCCTCACTTGTCCCACCGTCTGCTTCAGCACTGGCTCCTCGGCCTCCGGCCCATGGCCTTTCTCCTCTCTTTCTCCCTTGGCCTCCCTCGGCAGCTCATGACTGGCCTGCTCCCCACACCTCTGTGTGAAGTCATTCATAGCTTCAGCCCAGACCTGGTTGCAGTTCTTGGCAAAAATGAACTGCGCCTGTGGTATAAAACCTAACAGAAAGATGTGTTAGTTCAGGACACAAGCTCTGGTAAGGGACCCCATTCCGACCTCTGTACGCACCTGTGTACCCAGGGATTATGTGGGAGCCGAGCCGTTCATGGCCACGCCTGGGAGGTAGCCTGGAGATGACAGGACACTGTGGAGCCCGGATGGGCGGCAGAAGAGTGCGGCGCGCGGGAGGCCAGGCCACGCCTGGAGCGCCTCGGAGTAGCTGAGCAGTCACCTGTCCGTAGGGCTGGCCCGTGCTGAACCGAAGCAGTGGGCAGTGTCCTGTGTACCTGAAGCACAGGGCCCGCCGCTTCAGCTCCAAGGCCGCCGCGGGCCGCACAGCCCCGCTTGTGGTGTGTGCTTGCAGCAAGCGTGTCCTCTTAGGCAGGGTCTCTGTAGCCTGGGCTCACCAAACACTTTTTGATCCTTCTGCACCCCACCCCACGCTGGGATCAGGAGGGTGCCAACCGCCCCGTGCCCCCAGCTTGAATGCGTAGGTCATTTGTTGTTGTCTTTGTTACCTACTATGGACTGAACCTAGAGCGCTCTCTGTGCCGGGAAACTGTTAGCCGCTGAAGCTGCCATCTCCCAGCCACCAAGCAAGCATCTCGAAGCCCTCTGCTGTTTCCAGCCCTCCCTCCCTGCTTTCACCGTTCCCATGGAGAAGACAACACACAGCTTTGTTAGATGCAGCTATTCTAATTCTCCATTCTGCTTTCCATACAACACCACAGACACCCCAGTTCTCAGATCAAGATGGCAACTTGACCCCAGTGTCAGTGGACCAGCTCCTCTGCCCCCACGGCCCAATTCCCAGAAGCAAGCAGGAGGGTGACCTGGGGAGAAGTCTTACCCCGGAATATAATGCGGACTGTGAGGGCTGAGCCCTGGGGTGAAGGTGTTGACCATAGCCATGGGAACCCAAGCAGTTCCTTTTATTTCCCTTCCAGAGGGGACTCTGGCCGTGTGTACTGTGTCCAGGGCTGTGGGGCCAGAGGAAGGGGCGGGCTGAGGGTAGAGAAGGCAGGCATTGGAGTGGGGACTGCTAGGGTAACGCCACAGAGCTGGAGAGTGGCAGACTTCTCAGTGTGCCCTGGGACCCATGCCTGTCCTGTCCTGTCACATGGGGCAGGGCAGAGGCTGAGGGGAACAGCTGCCCGGTGCCATCCCAAGAAAGCCTCTAGGCAGGAGACGAGGAGATGAGCCCTGGAGGGCAATTTGGTGCTATCTCCCAGGAGTTCCATCTTGAGGCCCTCCTGGCTGAAGAGAGGACCATGGTGCTCTGGGAAGCTTGTGGGAAGAGCTGGAGTTCTACAGAAAAGGGGCTTCAAGGAAAGCTTGAGTTTTCCAGAGTGGGGATAATGGCAGCGGGGGACATGGCAGTCCTAGAGTCTAGACTGACCACTAAAATAATTTGCATTAACACAAGGATTACTTACTATAATCTGAATCATCCGCTCACCAACATGGCATGCTTGGCTAAGCCCCCTGAGGATGGTAGAATGCAGCATACAGGAGTCCCACAAGCTATTGGGAAGACTGAGCCAACGGCAGATGGCACTCTGTGCCCTCTCCGCTCCTCAATGCAGATTAGCGTACAGCAAGGTGCAGGAGCTGGAAACCCAGGCACAAGTCTGGCAAGTCCTTGCCTCCCAACTGTGCACCCCAGGACACAAACACATTGTTAACTCAGTAGAGTGTGAAGCCAGAATTGCAGAGTCCAGGCAAGAACTGAGGCGTGAGGCCAGGCAGGCTTTGACTCCAATCTGAGGGAGCAGGTACCTTAACTTCCTTTGGTCCCAACTTTTCCAAACTATGGTGTGAAGGTTAAAATAGCTGCGCTCACAAAGGCTGAGGGTCAGTGGCCTCACTGAGGTGGCGAAAGAAGTGGCTCCTAAGGCTCAATTTCTTCCCATCACAATGTCTCAGCTTCTGACACATGGAGCATCAGTGAATGGTAACCCAGTGGGTGGGGGCAGGGGTGCTTCTCCTAAGGGGTTTCAGGGAAGGGGAGTCACGTGCGGATCAAGGCAGGCAAGCAAACTTTGCTTTTAAAAATGGACTAGATTCTACGCTTGGGCTTCTGGCACTGCAGACAAGATGGAGGGAATGCGCTGCAGCCAGTAGGGCCCTGAGGAGTAGCCTTAGCTCCACAGAAAGCGACACACAAATGAAATGAGGTTGCTTTCTAACTGGTCCTCAGTGTGATGGGGGACACCTCCGCAGACATCTTCAACCCTCAAAAATGCTTACTGGGGACAAAGCCTCAATACATCAGGGGTGGAATAGATGGAGTAGAAAGGCCAAGTCTTTGATAGTCACACTGAGCCACTAAGGTGACCAGCCTTTCTATTCCGTTATTTTAAGGCCACTTTCTTTTACTTAGAGCCAGAAGCATCATTACTTAAAGACTGAAAACTAAACAGGCTCAGAGCTAAATGCTAGCACTTGGGAGGCTGAGGCAGGAGGATTGCCTGCCTGGGCTACATAACAAGACTCTGGTTCAAAACAAACAACTGGCTCAGACTTTAGCTCCGCTCAGTAGTGACCTCATTCAGTAGCAACCTTGCCCACAGTCATTACACCCCAGTTTGCTCGACTATAGCACAGGAATATGGAGTTACTGCCTCACAGAGTGAAGTAGACAGCAGGTACATACAGGTGCTCAGTGTCTATTCTGTGCTAAGTTGCTAACTTAACAGCAAGCATAATATTTGATGGAAATGGGGAAAGCAGAGGCAAGGGCAGTCATGGATGTGGGGGAAATTGGAAACTGGAAAGGTTAGAATTCAAAGCTGAGAATTCTTTCCTCAGGGGGTGGGGAGAGGGTAGCTGAAGACAGTCACATATAGCCCAGGATAGCTCCACACTCACTATGTAGTGGGTGACCTTGAACCGCTGATCCTCCTGCCTCCAACTCCTGAGTTGTGATTATAGGCGTGGGGCACCAAATCTGGCTAGAGCTAAGATTTTTCTGCAGAAGAGATGGCAGCAGTTAGAACCAGGGCTGAGCTAAAGGGAACCCACACATTGAAGTGAAGTGGTTCAGTGGAAGGCCACTTGCCTTAGGAGCTGGAGGCAGCTCAGTTGGTCGAGTGCCTGCCTGTCATGCTTTCAGCCCAAGTTCACTCCCTATTGTTGCGTAATCACAGCACTTGGGAGATAGAAGCAAGAGGATTGGGGGGAGAGGTCAAAGTCATCCCTAACTGCATAGGGAGTGTGAGGTTAGCCTGGGCTACACGAGAAACACCACACTAGAGTCTGCTTAGATCTGTGTTATTTGTGTGAGAACGCGTGCTCTGGTGGGTAGGGCTTATTACTCCATCCGGGTAAAGAATGTTTCTAAGCCCTTCAAGAGGATCCTAACCTGGGAAAACGTTAACAGTGCTAGTGGAAGACAAGCTCATTGCCTCCATGCCTCCCTCCACCGGGGTCACCACAGTGACAGCTTTCAAGAGAGCTGCCATACCCAGTGACCAGTGTGGGGAAAGGCTGCCCACCTATAAAATGGAGGTCCAGAGCTTGCCCGTGCACACAGCCTACTGGGTCAGACGGCAATCACAGCTTCCTGTCCAGGAACTGCGGTTAGGTTTCCTGGGGATTCCAGGTCAATGGCTTGACTGGTCAGCCAGCCCTCAGCAATCGTACGTACATCCCTAGAAGGACGAGTAAAAGCAGTGCATGGTGCCTCACCTGCAATCCCAACCCTCTGGAGAGTAAGGACTGCTGAAAGCTCAGAGCCAGCCTGGGCGACAGAGTGAAAACATTAATTTCACCCCACCCCACCCCCAGAAACAGTAAAAACAGAAAAGCATAAGACCTTGAAAAAATTCTACCAAAATTGCAACAAGAAGTGAAAAGACTATACCCCCCCAATTCACAAATATTTGTTTAAAAAAAAAAAAAAAGTAGTTTTAAAAAGTTTTTACAAAGTTGGCTCAGTGGTTAAGAGCACTGGCTGTTCTCCCAAAGGACCTGGGTTCAACTCCTAGCACCCATACGGCAGCTCACAGCTGTCTGTAACTCCAGTTCCAGAGGATCCAAAACCCTCACAAACGTGCAGGCAGGTAAAACACCCCCACACATAAAATAACAAAATTATTATGGGAAGATGTGGCGAATAGACAAGATATTTCAAAAGTAAGAGCTTATCAAGAGCTAAATAAGGATCTCATTTAGAGATTGATTGAAATAGACAATTTGAAATTTTTAAAAATCCAACATAAAGAAAAATGTGAGCAACTAGATATTGATACTAAGAAATTATTGTTTGGTTTGATTTGGCTTAATTTTAAAAACAAGTTTTTGCTATGTAGCCTAGACTGGCCTCAAACTCATGATCCTCCTGCCTCTGCCTCCGAGTATTGGGATTATAGCTATTCATATGACTTTTATTCTTGTTTTTTACATTTTATTTTTTTATTATTGCGTGTGTGTGACATGAGAGGGCACACATGTTAAGACACATGTGGAGGTCAGAGGGTAAGTTTGAGGAACTGATTCTCTTTCAACCTTTGCCCGCATTGCAGGCTTCAAGTGGCTGAAGCAAACGCTGCCTGCTGAGCCTCTTCCCAGCCCTATTGTTAGTTTTAGAGGTACAGCACTGACACTAATTTTGTTTAATGAAATCAGTAATATACGGAAATATTCATTGATAAGACAATGCCATAGGTATGCACCAAATAACTGGGGAAGGGGCAGACATGGATGAACTAAGACTGGCCATGAATTACTCCCAGGATAGGCACAGCACAGAAAGTATCTGAAAGCAGGTACATTTACATGTGAAAGGATGGTAGTGTGTGTGTGTTCGCGTGTGGGCACACATGCGTCCTACCTGTACGTTTTGACCATTAATCATCATTACTGATGGCAATAATCTACCTTCTACCCTCAAGCTCCACACACACACACACACACACACACACACACACACACACACACACAC